TGGGGGGGGGGGGGGGGGGCGGGGTGGGGGGAGCGCTTAATATTTGAGTAGAGTGGGGAACTTTGCAAAGACTGGGAAGTTGGGTCGGAGAAAAAAAAGTTGAATCTAACACTGAAAAGAGAGGGGAAAAGTACCTGGGAACTGGTGGAAATTTTGAAGTGTGAGATTTGGAAGAAGTATTCTCACTCACTCTCTCACTTCGCCAAACGGAGATTAATTAGTATTCGGTTGTTTTCGGGGCACCTAGTGATAATTTATTTTTAAGGCGCTTAGCTTCTTTTTTTATTATTAATTTCTTCGTGTATTTTGTTTAAAATAAAAAAAATAATTGAAATTATATATATCTATATAGAGAGAGAGGATTTAACTACATTAGTATAACTTTTACTAAATATTATACCGTTTAATAACTTTATATTAAATATGAATTTTGTAAATTCAACCGTTAGATTGAAAGTTCTTTGCTCTTAAATTATATATACAAAATTTTATATTAATTCAAGATGATTTGATATTTTATCCTTATAAAACAAAATACTATATAACACTAAACAAATTTAAAAGATAGGTACAAAAAAGTATCCATCGCTCACCTTATGAAAACTTAAAGTGTGGAAGGTCATACCTTTCTGATAGACTATGGCCAAGGCCAAGGAATCCAAGAGGTGATATCTTAAAAGAACCAAGAGGAATGAGATGATCTTAAAGACCTTTTTCATATATTTTGTACATAGTTCCTTTGTATAGGTCTAATTTTGCCTTTGTATTTATGAGGCACTTTACTTGCTTTTAATTAGTGATTGTATATTGATTTTAGGGTGGGTTACTTGGAGAGTTTAACTCCATTTAACCTCCTTTGTTGATACATTCATTTTATATTTTTTCAGTAGGGAAAAAGGGGTGGCATTTAGCAATGCTTGAGGGTGTGACTAGTAATTGGGCCAGAACTGGGCCTAGGCAAAATTTTGCATATTAGACTCATTTTGCTCCTAATTTTTCATAGATTTGATTTAGCTAGGTCTCATCATCATATGATGAACCTAACTAAACCAAATCAAATATTTTTGAAATAAATCATGGAGCATTTTTTAGCCTTGGCCGCCTAGCCCATTCCTTTGTTCTTGGCCAAAATTTCTAGCTTCTCCTACAAGCTTTGAAGCTTGCCTTCCAAGCTTCTAAACCTTAGTAGGTTAGGCTGACCTTACCATGGTTCTTAAATGAACCATGGTCAAGGTTAGCTTCTCCTACAAGTTTTAGAAATCATGGATGGTTAGCTACACCTTACTGTAGACACCCAATTTCGTTCGGGGGGCACACAAACAAAGAAATGGACCTCCATTATGAAGGAAAGGAACTTTCGAAGCAGGCAAATAACAAGACAGGACAATCAAAAGGCCTAAAGGCTAAATATGGTGTTTTTAGTAGCCCGGAACGGGCTGTTCCAAAATCGGAACGGCCCGTTCCAAAGTTAGAACGGGCTGTTTCAAAATCGGAACAGGCCGTTCTGAACCCCGGAACGGGCCGTTCCAATATCAGAACGGGCCGTTCCAATATCAGAACAGGCCGTTCCAATATAACTAAAAACACCTAAAGAGGCTTGTGTGGAACAGGCCGTTCCAATAACAGAACGGGCCGTTCCAAACAAGGCAAATTTGGAACGGGCCGTTCTAGAAAGGTTAAGTTCGTGTTATTTTCTACTCTGGAACGGGCCGTTCCGTTTTCAGAACGGGCCGTTCCAGAGTACGAAATTTTCACATAATAATTGGGTCAGAACGGGCCGTTCCGAAACCGGAACAGGCCGTTTTGGCCCACTATTGATCCCTATAAATTGAAGCCTTGGGCACAGTTCACTAGGCGGCCAGAGAAATTTCGAATAAGACTCCTTTGAGCACGAAAATTCTCTATCTCTCTCCCTTCTATTGTATTTCTTGAGATTTGTGTCGCATCTCTATCTTCTCTCTCCCTCCTATTGTATTTCTTGAGATCTGTGAGGCATATTGTAGTGTGAAAGGTCACCACAAAGCACCTCCTCCATATTTGAAGATTCAATAAAGCTCGTTCAAGAGGTATTTCAGTCAATCTTTTTCTCTCTCTCTTTTATTATTCATCTTTATCTCTTTTTTGTTATAAAAAACTTCATAATGTAGATATTTTAG